TTAGGACATGTAGTGATAACCTTTTTTCATTTAAGAAAAAAATGTATCTTTTAAATTTCATAATTAGAAAAAAGCCAGAGGTTTATTAATTTTAAGCATTTTAAAAGAATCAACTTTTGCCTTAATTTTTTCTCTTGTGTATTTTTATTTACTATTTAATTGATTTCTGCTCTTATACACTTTTTTCTACTTTCTTTGGATTTCATTTGCTGAATACTTTCCTAACTTCTTAGAACAGGTGGTTAAAACAGTAATTGTTTATGCAAAATGGGCTCTCTTGTATGGCCATTATTTTGTTTGATCTTCAAAATCACCTTGTCAAGAAGGTGTGCTATTTCCATCTTTCTTTATGAAGACCATGAGACGGTAAATAACTTGCTCTTTTTGACCTGTCGCTCCTTCATTTGGCTTCCTCGAGATCGAGACCATGCTCTCCTCTTCCTCCGACAGCTTAGTTCCAGTTCCTATGCAGGGCCCTCTTGCTGTGTGCACCATTAAATATCTGAGTTCCTTGGGTCTTTGTAAGCACTCTCTTCACTTAAAAAAAATCCATTAACAATCTTACTCATGTTTGTTAGTTTAACTGTTACAAAACTAGTGACTCCCAAATCAGGATTCCCAGACCTCTGAAACTACATATTCTCGCTGCCTTCTGATATTGTTCATCTGGGGACTCCAAAGGCAAGACCTTAACCTCGATCATGTCCAAAACTATGCTTCACCTTCCCCCACAAATATACTCTTTCTTCTGAATTTCTAGTCTCAGCGAATAACATTCATCCAGTTTTCTAAGACAGATCTGCGAAAAGTCATCCTAAAATGCTTCCTCTCTTATGCACTGGATATTAGTTACCCCCTAGACATCTCTATCACTGGTTCCGACCTCACCAGCCCCAATGTCAGAGTATTTCTTTAGGTCCTCATGGTCTCTTACCTGGACTTGCTTAAATGCTACCCCTTAGAAAAAGTCTTTCTGAACTTCTATTATATTATACTTTATACACATTCACGTTATAGAAAAGATTGACTATAACTCTATGCCTGCTTCTCTCCTCACTAAACTGTGAGATAATTTAATGGAAGAGCTATGAGATATACATACATATATATACACACACACACATATCTCATATACATATATACATATATGTACATATGTATGCGTGTGTATATGTATTTACGTATCTCCTAAGAGACTTGCAAATTTCTCAATATATATTGGGTCAATGGATGCCTCTAGAAAAAATAAAGGAAAGAACAGCTTACTATTTCCTCAGTGGTTGTTACCATTGTGGCTAATTCATACCTTTCCGTGGAGGGCTCACGTGGGTGCATGGATTGTTATTATTAACCTTTCTGAAGAGTCAGTTAGTCAGATGGAACTATTAATTGGAGTGGACTTGTGCCAATGTCACTTTAATATAGAAATAAAACTGAATCCTTTAAGACAGTGCTCTGCTGTCTAGGAAAAGTCTGTATTCATAAGCTTATAATAAAGCCTTCTGATATTACAGCCACTTCACTGGCCATGTCTATTTGGAAGATAATAGTCAAATCATAATACTATTGAAGTTGCATGCTTAGAAAAGCTTAGAGTCATGTAATTTGAGTTTCGAATATTATAATTTCAAATTATATACCACTTATTAACAAAATTATCATAAGGAAGAAAACTCAATTCTACAGAGAGGATGTTTTTAATCACCCCTTTTTCAATGTGGTGAATGAAGCATAGTGGAATCAAGCAATTTATGCTAAATCTCAGCTCATTACTGACAATAATTCAGAAACACTGCTCCCTAATTCTAGATTCTCCCCTTTCTTATTGTGGTAACAATGTTTTCAGCTAACATAGGAGAGTCATATAAAATCCTCAAGTATAACTTCTGATCTGGCTCTCACATCCCATATTTAAAAAATTTCCATTGTTAATTACCTGTAATCCCTGCCCTAGCTTTAGGTTTACAGAAGCTCCTCCACTTATGATGGGGCTACATCCCAATAAACACATCGTAAGTAGAAAATACCCTAAGTTGAAAATGCATTTAATACA